CGGACATGATGATCTGCTCAGGTCCCTTCCGACCCTGCCAACTATGAAACTGTATTCCCAAGATGGTTAGAAAAGTGCAATTAGCTTACTTTTCAGATTCCAAATGGCTGCAGTTTGGGTTGCTAAAGCGATTTATTATAAGCTAGATGAATGTTATTTCCAGCATTAAAAAGCTCACTGTTTAAGCTAAAGAAAGCAAATACTAGACGATTTCAGCTGTCCTTGCTCAAGTAAGAAAAAGCACAGGGCTCCACTGCGGATGATGGGAACTCGGGGTGCTTTGCTGGGAGAACGGGTTTTGACGAGAGGTGTGTCAGGTGCCCCATAAAGTGCAGGGGGCAGTGTTTGAGGTAGGACTCTGTTCCTCGCTCCTCGGGACCTCTGGACCACTTATTTCTCTCAACGGAGCTTATCCTATAAGGATTCTTGCCTCCTACTTGTCACTTGCTATATGGTCACTTAAATATGGTTGCTAGCGTCTTACTCAAGTTTTCCTTTCCGTTATGTCCACAGTTACGTGGAACGTTACGGGTGATCCTGGAACCCCTACTCACGGTCGTGCCTTTTTTTGGAGCTGTGACATTGTTCTTTATTCAAAAACCGGTGAGTCCCTAGCAAACTCCCCGGGCTGCCTTCGTTGATTCTTGATCTTCATTTAGGATGTGACATTACCCGAGGGAGTCAGCTTACCAAATATCCACCTGCAGTAGCATAGGTACTACCTTGTCCCAGATGGAAGACTTGGACTAGAGCGCTGGACAGTGGTTCTTCACTGTGGGTACAAAGAAACGCTAACGAACGGTGAAGCCCTCTGAAATCCATGCCTCCTGTTTGAAGAGCCGTGTGTTACTGAAAGGCTTTTGTCTTACTCAGTTGGATCAATGCGCAGTTGGGTAAGAAGGTGGAGTCCTTGCCCCAGAAAGCTTATGATCGGCGGGACAAATTTTTCAGCTGGTCTCAACTGGTGTAGCTCCCTAGAAGGTGCAGGGCTCCACTGCATGTGGACCTTGCCCTTAGAGTAGAGGGGGATTGGAGGAAAGAAACATCAGTTGCTGGAAAAATGAAGATTTAACAGATCGAAATGAGGTGTGCTAGAGCTGAGGGTTTGCTTTGGTTCAAGTCTATATTGGGAAGGAGGAGGGTGCGTGTGTGTGTGTGAGAAGGGGGAGAGAGAGAGATGGACAGACAGAGCAGCAAGGTAGCGTGGACTGCAAGCCGCATTAGTAGTGCTGACCCTTCACACTTCAAACAGATTTCCTAGTTTCTTGACAGAGGGTTTCTAGCAGAGCAGTGTGTGATAACAGTCACGTGTCTAATCCAAGGAGAAGACGTGGTGACAACAACTCAGAAAGCACTGCAGGCATTTGATTCAAATGTCTATCGTTCAATTTTTTACAATGGGGTGCAGTTGAGGCAGACGTACCCTGTTGCTTTCTCAGCAAACCCAACTGCTTTGGGCTCATTTGAGATTGAATGAGTATTTGATAAACCCCAACCCTTTGGGGGTTTACTGTAAAATCTGTTTTCTCCTTACGTTGTTCAACAAGGGTCACAGCACTGATCAATCGATCCTGCTAGTGTGGATGGAGTGCTTGGGTTGCATACGATGCACGCAAGGCCTTGCCTTTTGCAAATACTCATGTGACATGGCCACGTCCAAAGATGTTCTGCACACCCCTATTCAGGTTGAGCTACCTGACCAGGCCTGGCAGAAGAATTGCTCTTAATGGGAGCTGTGGGAAGGGTGAAGAGTGAGGAAGAATCCTCTAGCAAAGGAAGGGAGGGAATTCATTGCCATGCTACAGGCTAGACCAGGGCATGTGCCTGAAACCTGACTCCTTGCAATCCCCATTTAATGTGTAGGTGGGATCAGTAATGGTGGGTTGGGTGTGGTATAATGGCTCTACCCTCATGCATAAGGCGTGACTGGATACCTCACCAGGATCTTACCCTTTGTGAGAAGCTGGTACTCCTCTGCAGCAATGCACCCACAAAATCCTTATTCAATATATGCCAAGGATACTTAAGACGAAACTAAAACAGACTCTGAATATTGGCTGATGTAAGATTTTTGCTCGGTTGAATCACTGACTTGTTAAGGCTTTCTCTCTCTCTTTTTTTTTATTCTTTAAATGCCTCTTCACGTGCCCTAAAGAGGTTTGTATCATTACGTGATAAAACAAGCCCCTTTACTGCTTGGAGAGGTAGAAATGTCTCTCGTACATCACACAGAACTATAAAGTAGTGGAATAGATATGGAAAAGTTGCAACTTTCCAACAACTGCCCTCCTTAGATCCTTCCTTGGGTCAGCACATTATTTATTTCGCAGTTGCATTATAATTCAGTTTACTGTGTCTTTCCTTCTCTTGATTGCTACCTGTAGTATTTGGAAATCAACTGGGCAGGACTTACCAACCTCTTAGATGCACCAGGAATTAGGTAAGTGTCCCTTTCTCTCTTGCTTCAGAAGGGTTCAGTATTTTTATGCATCTTTTTTTCTCAAGCACTTGGGCCAAAGGATTTTCAAGATCTGTTTGCTCTTAGGGTTTTCATAGGGCTGCTCATAACAATAGTATGTGAACAGAGAGCCTGCAACATCTGAACTCAGCACCCTGTTGCTGTTGTCAAAAACTGTTCTTAAACCCTTTCTTCACATGTGCAACTTTGCCTGGAAATGCAAGTATAGTCCAGTATCCAGGTGCAGCTTGCAGAGCAATACCTGGGCTATCGGAAGGCTGATTGTTAAAAACCTGGGCATCCTTTTCTGTGCCTGCAAAACTGCTTGTGTACTGGATAATTATAGTGGCTGACAACCAGAGCTAAGGAATTTACATGCTGTATTTTTATGTGGAGGTAACCAAAGAAATAGCCAACGTTGTGTTCTACTGTCCTATCAGTGATTGAGGAAACTGGAATAAAATCAAAGCCATCAGAAATTCCCCTCCCTCTCCTGACAGCCGATTCTCTTATTCCTTGTATTCCCAAGGGAACTGCACCCAAAGCACTCAGTCTATCCCAGGTGATTGCATTGCTTTTGTATATTGAATTTATTCAGTGAATATTCAGATACCTCCACTTTGGCTCCACTGCTCAAAATTTGCAAGCGTTTCCCCTAGGACCAAAGATGCAATCCCTGTAGCTTGTTTTCTTCCGTTTTAAATCACTACCAGCGAACTAGAGAGAAATGAAGACTTCATTTGGTTGGCTGCAAAGTGCTAGTTGCCAAAGTTTTGACTTCTCCCTGTCTCCCCTTTAGTCATGTAAACATAGAAATACTCATTTGTTCATAGATGTTGAAAATAAAAGCCATATGAACAAACATACCTGGGAGTGAAGCATGCTGAAATACAGACTGAACCAGCTTTCTTCCTTTAAATGAATCTGATCTATTGGGAAGACTTAATAAATACAAAATACCTTCTAGTTGCAGTCTTTAGTCACTTTTAGCTGGACTTGGCATGCTACTAGAATTTAGTAGGGGTGCACCAATAGAGATTTTCTTGGCCAGTACCGATAGCCGATTATTCACCAGGCCTGTCAGCTGATACTGGCCCAGTAACTGATTTACAGGAGCACAGCCAGGCAGCGTGGAGAGCAGCACCCTGCAGGTAAGTCTGTGCAAGTCAGTGGTGCTCAACTTTTAGTGCCACAGGCCAGCCAAATGATACAGGGTCAGTCCACAGGTGGGAATGGACCCTGTGCACCAGGATCAGGCCTGTGCTTCCAGATCAGGGCCCTGCATCACCTCCCATGGTCCCATACTGCAGGATCGGACCATGCACTGCCTCCTGCAGGCCTGGGTGTGCCCGGATCAGGTCCCTGGCCACCTCCATGCACCCATCTAGCATGCTGTCTGACCTCCGGGACTCCCCAAGGGTCCAGAAATTCGGCAGCAGGGGTGCTCCTACCACTCACACTGCCCAATCTTTGGAGCCATGGGGAGCCCATAGGCTGGCATGGCTCCAGATCTGACCTGCAGGCTGGGGGTCGAACACCCCTGTTTTAAGGGGAAATGGTAACTCATTTCTTTTAATGTTTCCTTTCAGTTTCATGTCTGAGACAATAATCCAGGACCTCATTGCAGCCCGCCTGGTGCTTCCAAACAGAATCACAGTTCCCCTGAACAATAACATCGATGTGTCCTGCCTGCAATTCCCTGTCCCATGTGTGAGTGTCCTCCATGACATATGGGACCAGAGTCAGTTTAACATGGTGTTACCTGCGGTGAGGGGTAGTAGGCTATGTGCATTAGTCTCTGACCCATGATTAATGCCACCGGTTAAACGAGTTGCTGGCTTCGGTCAGAACCGCAGTGAGTATTCTACCTAACAGCGCTACTTTGGGTATGAGACTAGGCTCAGGAGTGCAGTAGTGTGACAGATTGTCCCAGCTTTAAAAACCTGCACAGAATCCATTTGTACCAAGCCTCATGCCCCGGAGATCTCTCCCACATGCACGTTTTGTTAGAGCTAACAATATTTGGGCAAGAATGCAGAGGGGAAACCCAGGGGAATGCCAATTAAAATAAAATACTAGGTGCTGGACTTTTTTTAACCCCTACTGCAGCAGCAGGGCATGGGTTTTAGCTTTGACTCCTTTGGGTATTGTAGTGCATACATCTCTGTATTGTATAGAGAGTTTTAATCTGTGCCCCTCACATGTTGTATTTTTTTGACAATTTTTGGCATAGTTAGATTTAGTCTTTTCATATAGCATCCCTGTTATATGGCAGTATTCTTTGCTTATAAAAAGAGGTGTTGAACAGCTGTTCCTTTTTGGGTTTTGGATATCCTCTTTACGTTGTCATGTCTTAAACAGAGACCTTGCCAAATGAAAGATTTAGATTAAGTTAGGAACATGATTACTCTCCAGTTTGTCCTTGATTTGGACCTTAATCCAGAATTCTCAAAGCATTTGGATTTAATAATGCTTTTGAGAAAGCATGAATAGGAGTGAGGTTTGAGAATTGCAGAGATCTTTTCACCATGTAAGGTATTTTACCAAAAATCCTTTTGATATATCTTTTTGAACTTACAAACAATAAATACATTAGATATAGAGTGAGGAATAACTCAGTGAATGGCAGAAGGGTGGAAGTTCTCCAATGCTGCCAGTTGCTAAAAGAGGAAATACTGTATTGTATTACTGGACTTAACAAAAAAAGTTATTTTCCATTGTCAAAATGTAAGCTCAAGAAAATGTAAATGGATGATTTTGTCCTTGAGATAGGATTTTATCATTTCAGTCAGTGCCAGCTCTTAAGAGCTGTATCTTGGTCGTAATTCCACTTTGGGATTGCTACCCCAGATGATATCTGCTCAGCGTTAGAAGCACAGGCAGGGAAGCAAAACATCTTTGAGAAAGTCCAAGAACATGAAGCATGACACAAGGACAATTTAAAATAGGCTGAAGATGGCAGCTTGATCAACTGCAAACATTTTCTTTCAAATGCAAGAACTCTTTGGAGTTTCCTAAATGATTGGCCACTTTGGCAATTATTTATTACATACTGTCAAGTCACATTTACCCTATAAATGCAACGATAGCCCATGTCTGGCAACATTGCTGTTCTCCACCATAAATTTAATCACCAAATGCAAGTTGAATGACCATCATTACGTCAACTAATCAGAAGTATCCTGTCTAACCAATGGTGGGTGATCCTGCCGCTGAGGAATATTTACTCAGAGTTTGAGCCTTCTTAATTCCCCATGAAGTCAATGGGAATTGAAGAGCTCAGACCCTTAATAATAGCATCAGGTGTGACTGGAGGCATTTTCCTGCCCCACTATAACCACTTGTGTCTCTGGATAAGGTGACTTTTTCCAAGTCAAGGATGGGAAGCATGTTTAATAGGTCACGTGTTCCAACTCAATCTCAGAAAATGGACTACATCAAAATACCATTCAGACGGATCCTTCTGGTCATTGGAATCAATGTTAGAAATGGCTTGCTTCAGAGGCAGTGTGTTGTAATTATCAAGGGGGCTATGATTTCATGGCTGATTAGCAATGCCTTGTTTCGTTCAGGGAGTGGTGAGAGTGTATTTGCTAGAAGCCGAAAACCTTGTCCAAAAAGACAGCTTCCTTGGTGCCATTAGAGGGAAGTCAGACCCTTACGCGATTCTTCGTGTTGGCGTGGTGCAGTTCCGGAGCAGGACCATTTCCCGAGACCTTAATCCCATCTGGAATGAAGTCTACGAGGTACCGAATCCTGTGGTCTTCTGAACTAGATGAAGCTAAAGGTTATGCATGCCTTATACACGGGGGTCATTGATGTGGGCAATTGTCCTCGGCCCTTCCCTAGCCTAATCGCTTTGGAGCAGATAGACTGTTTGCTACTTCGTTAACAGATCGCATGTTGAACCAAAGAAGCCCTTAATCAATTGAGCTCCAATTTACACAGTAAACTTTACCTTGGTCCCTGAATTGACATGCCAGTTCTCAAGCTGATCTGATGAGGTACACTGCCCACGGCTAATTAAAATCTTGCTTAATAGAATCAACCACTTTATTAGCATAAGAATCTGCAACCACGCGCTGTGGATACAGGCTTTTTTCCTGACAGCAGCATCAAGTCTGCATGCACGCGTGTATGTTTTTGCTGGATAGGCAGGTTGCTATGCCAGAGCCGGCGACAACCAAGCATGTATTATCATGACATCCACGTGGACTTTTTTACTTTGCTCCCACCGACTAGAATTGCCGGTTGTTAGAATCGAAAACATGCTACCTGATGGGATTCTAGTGAGTGGATTCGAGAGGAGACCCAAATTCAATTTTATATATAAACTGTGCTGCAAAAATAGTTGCCCCTTAATAGCTGATGGAAGGCTTTTTTGGGGGGGGGCTGTTGGCTGGCTAGTGTTATGACCCTGACTAGTTGGAGGCTCCTGGTCACATCTTTTAACTACAACTTAAGCTACCATCTCATAAAGATGTCATATTTCTGCTGAAATGTATTAGCATCTAATGAACTGTCCTTATTAATGGGAGCCATTTTGGACTGCAGCTTGCCACTTGTCTGCACTTTCACAACACACTTGAGAAACGCTGCGTCCTCGTGGTTGTTTCAAATGGAGCACTTGCATATGTTTATATATTTTTAATCTAAAACTAGTTTTCTTTGTTTTTCCTGCAGTTCGTTGTCCATGAATTGCCTGGTCAGGACTTAGAAGTAGACTTGTATGATGAAGATCCAGATAAAGATGACTTTCTGGGCAGGTGATCAACGTAATTTCAGTAGGATGTGATGTGTTGTGTGTTTTCAGTTGTCCAGTTTCCTGTAGAGTTGAGGCTAGAGGCAGCTCAGAGCTGTTTGCTCAGTGAAAGATGTAGAGTTTTTCTTAAAAATGTAATTTCTTCCCCTAAAGTAATTTTTAGGATTAGAAGTAACAACTGGAGCCTTTCTCTTATGGATGTTCAGATCTATTGGGGTAAAGTCCTCACAGTTGGATGCTGTCCACATTGTGACATGAATTTGATGCTCTTGGTACCCTAACAAGGAGTTATCCCAGTAACAAATCTGTAACGGAGTCCATCTTTTTGCTCACTCATCATGAATATGCTGTTCACTTAAACATACCTTTCATGTCTTGTCTTCCAGCCTGCTTATCAACCTCGGGGACGTAATGAATGACAAACTCGTTGATGAGGTAAAAAAACAAACCCAACCCTCTTATTGCAGCTTGTTCAAGGCCAATGCTTTAAACATAATGATGCCATGAACTACTCTGGTCTTCTCTTTTCTGCCAATGTGCAGCTTGTTGGTTATTTTACTAACTTCTATTTTTACAAGCATGTATTCAGCTCTGGGTTTGCTCATAAAGAGGGAGCTACTGAATTTGCAATTGCATGATTTTCATGGAAAATGTAAAATCAGGCAGGCTCTGCAAAAAACAGTGGGCTTACTGCAAAAAAGACCCAAAACAACTTACCAGCAAGGCAGGAAGCCACTTGGCCCAAAACTGTGGCTGAATTACTGCATTTAAGCTTGGGGAAGCCATTCATTCATGCATTAATTACCCTGATTAAGCCTGAGGAAGCCATTAATCCATTTAAGCATGGATTAATGGCTTCCTCAGGCTTAATCAGGGTAATTAAGCTGCAGTTTCAGGCCATCTGGCAATCTGCGGGAAGGGGCGGGACTGCCGGAGCCTTTGGCCAATCAGAGGTGTGAAGGGTCCTGCCATGCTCAGCCCACAAATGTGGCAGCCAGCCTGGGATCTGCCCACGAAATCACTCAGCCGCCTCCTTGAGTTCAGTAGACGGTTACTCATAAAGCTTGAAAAGCTGCGTCTTGGCCACGGTGCTCTTTTGCAGTTGTGTTGTACGTACACGGTGTCCCGGATGTTTGCGCATGTGTCTAGATAAATCTTGTTAAAAGCATTTGGGTTTCCGAAGGAATGAATGCTATTGTAAGAATATGGAGCTAGCCCAGTATCCAGTGCTTGCTGTTAGTTGCAGATAGCATTCGGTGTTCTCCGTATTAAGACGTTTTGCATGATGTGTCAGTGTTTCAGCTTTCTTTCCGGATAGATCCTAGCAGAAAAATCTCTGCATAAAAATAACTCCAGCTCAAGAGCTCAAAGTACAATTTCCGTTGGCGCTCATGCATCGTTCACAGAAGGATTGCGACATACACATATATGCTTCTACTACATGGTTTCAGATTATTCTTCTATTCTCTTTAATTTAGTGGTTTCCCTTAAGTAAGACAGCAAGCGGACACTTGCACTTGAAGCTCGAGTGGCTTTCATTAGTGACTGACCGAGAAAAGCTGCGCGAGGTGAGTTTTATTTGTTTCTGATGCTCTTAGTTACTTGGCAAAACAGCCTGTGAGACCATGAGCCAAAAGTAAATACCTCAGCTCTTATCATTGTTTGACAAGGCTTCCACGTGAAATTTCCCCAAGACTGAGCCTGCTTTGCATCCAAGTCGCAATTATTCTCAAATAAGCCAAAGGAATTAAAATCTGGCAGTGTTTGACAGCTGCGATCTCTCTGAACACGTCGCATAAATTGACCTCCTGTAGTGATACTAGATTTGGGCCATGGCTGTAAATCGTGATACTCTTTCAGTGAGCGAGCTTGAATCACTCTCACCTTTGTTACGTCATTTCCTTCTGCCACAATTCAGTGGAATTTAGGCATGTGTTTCAGTGCTTTCATTGCAGTCAGGGGCAGGGCAAGTCAGTGTAATGCATATCTGGGCTTTCTGTTTTGTGAAACGGCAGGGGACTAATGCCGGCATGTACAATTAAGAATATATTTCAGTCCCACGCTCAATCAGGGGCTCCAGCAAAGGATTCTAAGGTGATTGCTTGAACAACTACACTGTGGGTTAGTTAGAGTCGCACACTGGAATAGAATTATTTTTAGAGGAAGTAGAGTCATTTTGAACTTTGCAACTTCATGTTCAAGGTTCAAATAGTATTACAATTACAATGTAAGGTCTGGTACCCATCTTAAAAATTGCACCAGCTCTAATTGGATTAATTAGATCAGATCATGTTCTCATCAATCTGTACATGTTGTGCCCCATGTATTTAAAGATGAAATCAGAAAGTCTGACAATGAGAGAACTCCTTGGCCACTGTGAATTGCATATCAATAGATGTGCAATAGAGAACAGAGCCTTTCACGTGTGGGCCCTCGGGCCATGAAATGTCCGTGCAGTAATCCAAACCTCAGGACATCCTGGCAGTGAATGAGTGATACAAGCCACTCCAGTTGTACTTGGCTGCTGACATCCAATTTCTCTTTAGTCCCTGGTTTCATCAGTCAACAGTTGTCTGACCAGAATTGCACTTGCTGTAGTATGTATTTGATGATGATATTTGTGTGCCTAACCAGTGATACTCAACCACAGTGCCTTGAGGTCCTGTAAGGGGTGTTGCAGGATACCACATTGTTAGCTCGGTTAGATGTGCATATGCAATTCACACATGAACCCAGTGATTTCTAATAAGAATCTATAGTTTAAAAAAAAAAAAAAAAAGGTTTCTGACCTGTAGTGGTCTCTTTGGGTTCTTTGCAATAGAAAAAATGCTCTATTATTTTTCTGCCGTCAAAAAAAACTACAGAAAACTAAGAGCAGACATTTTTGAGGGGTGACTTGAGTCTAAAAAGTTTGAGAACCACTGGTCCTGACTTACCACTCTCCACCAGCTTTTCAATCATTGTAGAGCAGTTAAGATATAGACCAGGGGTGGGCAAAATGTGGCCCGCGGGCCAAATGCGACCCACCAGGCCATTCTATCCGGCCCGCGGGGCCCCTAAAAAATTAAAAAAATTAACGTTTATCTGCCCCTGGCTGCCTGTCATGTGGCCCTCGATGGCTTGCCAAAACTCAGTAGGCGGCCCTCCACCCAAAATAATTGCCCGCCCCTGGTATAGACGGATATTGCTATTATATTGATATCAAAGGGTACTGATGCAAGTTCTTATGGTACAACTGTTACATCTACATGATATAGTATCGATACAGTCATAGCAAACCAATTCAACTTTGACCTTGGGTTAACTTTTGGGTGATTGAAATCAGGGGTTGGCAACCTATGGGCTGTAGGTCAGATCTGGCCTGTGGATGAGGGGGCTTTGGCTGTCTGCTTTCTCCCTGTGCTGCTGCAGGGGATGAGTGTCAGGTGTAAGCACTCACCTCTAACCCAGGGTGGGTCCTTCCACCTGCAGCTGGAAAAGGTTGCCTACCCCTGATTTAAATCGCTGGTATTGTTAGGTCTGCGTGATCCCATAGCAGTCACATCATAACTGCTGATGCACAGTCTTGAGTAACGGCTCCCTCTCCGAAATATGTATTTGTCCCTGCCGTAGTTTTAGGAACAGGTGGATAAGTTGTCTGTCATCGGTGTGTCAGTAGAAACCACATGCGTTTCGGTTCTGCTCTAGTCTGGTCCTCGATTAACGTGTGTGTTTTTACTGACCGTTACAGGATAAGAATGGTCTCGCCACAGCAATATTAATAGTGTATTTGGACAGTGCTTGCAACCTTCCAGTAAGTAGAGAAGTAATGAGCAGCCTTTACCTTTAATTTTAGAAAAATAATTCCGGCACTAACCATTGAAAAATGTGTTTTACTGATACAGAAAAACCAGTTTGAATATTCAAATGGTGAATATGGTGCAAAGAAGTTCAAAGGCAACAAGTACCTCAAGGTAAATGCAATGCATACTGTATTTTCCCAGTGCTTTCAACATCACATGCTGGGCTGCACAGTATTTTAACAGTTTGGGCATCTTTCTGTGAAGGGGAAATACGTTGACTGTGATAGGAATTGAGGTCCAAATAACCGTTGTTCTGAACCAGTCATCCTGGTACGACACTAGCATCTGCAGGGATGGATACAGCCTACTGGTTTTTCTGGTTTTCATTTTGAAATTTATGCCAGGTCTGAGAGGGACAAAAATCAAATGCTCATTTTTTATTATTATTTTTTTAACCAAGAAAGGGAAGCCAGGCATCAGGCTAATTCTTGGCACTCATCTCCAGTGCTCAGTCCTTTCATGTCAGTCTTTCCAGGCCTCTGTTATTCCAAAATGGCACCTGGCCAGTGGAGGGACATTATCCCCTTACTCAGATATCACCACTGGCCTCCTGCTCAATTTAGGACCGAGCTTAACGCGGGGAAGTTTCCACACTATCCTGGCACACTTGCCTCATCTTGCTTTGCTCTAGCTGATTCCCTGTGCTCCTCAAGCACTGTGCAGCTCTCTCTCGCAATGCAGATGTTGCATCTGGAAAGCACTTGGCTTTCCTTGAACTCAGACAAACCATACAGCTATCAAGCAGAGTGAACCTCCTCCTGCCTTCCCCTATTGAGCAGTTAATCTCAGAAATGCTGAATTGTGCAATTGGGATAAAGTTTTCTGCACTCCTATATGTGCTGGATTCGGTCCTACTTAATTTCAGGCTTCTGCTTGTATATTCCTTTTGTCATCGGGTACTGAAGGCTTACCTTCCTTTTTCCAGAGCTCTTTTTTTTTTTTTTATCCTTCTGCTTTTTTTCCACTCCCCAGGGAGCTTTGGTCTATGCTTCATTTCCTTTGCTATGACAGGTAGGCAGAGGGAGCGTCACAAAGCTTTCCTCTCCATGACCGTACAGCATCCTACGGTGGTCTCTCTGCATCGGGATTGGGCTCCGATGTGAGGAATACACTGTGTTTCCTAATTAAAACCATTTTAGGTGGGGAAACAAAGACCCGTGGGGTGGCCTGCTTTTTTATCTTAGTTGGAGGCTGCCGTCATGGAGATTGGGAAGTTTGCTGGAGGCTCAGTGTTATCCCTCCTGGGAAGGAACTATCCTTCACTGAGCAGATACATCTTCCCATGCCATAGGTGCCTGCAGGAAATGCTACCGTCATTCTGGGGAATTCGCATCTGTGATGTCTGAGATTTACTGAGTCCTGGGCAGGTTTCTGAGTGTTGGAGAATCTCTGTTTTGAGATCCCCTGCTTTTTCCTCGTGTCCCTTCTTTCTTAACCTCCCCTCCCAATCAATAGTGTCATTTATATACACCTATCATTAGGGACCACTGGAATTTGCACCACAAGTGCACTGTGCGGTGGCTCCTTTAATCTTGAAGTGCCTCCCCCGCCCCCCCTTGCTGATTGACGGACAGGCCCCACCGCTCATTGCTTTCTCCTCCCAGCCGTCAGGAGAAAGCAGCAGGGCTGACGGGGCTCTGCCAATCAGCAGTGGGGGGGCGGAGGAAAGGGAGGGGCTTGCAGGGGAAACTACAAGATTAAAGGAGCCACCACGCAGCGTGCTTCCGGTGCAAATTCCAGTGGTCCCTATCTATAATGCACAACGCTATCTTAATTATGAGCCCTCAAGGACAGAAGATCAAAGAAGCAGCATGTTAGCTGGAACCTCTTTGGGTCACTGAAGTTCAGAAAAAAGATGTGAGAATCCAAAACGAAAAGTTACTTAAGAATGGCATAAAAGATACCTTACATCTATGTTCCCACTAGCACATGGCTTGGCTGCTGTTTTGTTACCATAACCTTTCTTTACTCCATATATCCCACCTCCCTGAGCTCCTGATGAAATGGGATAATATGATTTGGGCCTTTCCTTGTGTTCTGTAAGAACTAGGATTATTTTGTCTGGAGGAGAGAAGACTGGGGGTGGGATGGGATTTGATCAAAGCCTTTAAATACCTGCAGGGCAATTGCAAAAAGAATAGAGATTAGACACTGTGGATTTAGGGGACAGGACTAGGAGCAATGGTCTCAAGCTGCAGGAGAGGGCATTTAGATTGGAGATTAGGAAGAACTTTCTGGCTATGAGGATGGTCAAGCGCTGGAACGGGCTACCTAGAGAAAATGTAGACTCTCGATTGCTGAAAGTTTTTAAGAGCAAATTGGACAGATACTTGACTGCAGTGGTTTAGTGGGTGATGATCCTGCCTTGAGCTGGGATGAAGGGATGACTTCATGAAGTCCCTTCCAGCCCTGCTTTCCTGTGATCCTATCATTACATAGAGGTGTCTTAAAGGGGTGACCTTGCTACTAACCAAAAACAGAGTGCTTCATTTTATTTTAAGTATTTAGGGTGAGGTTTTCAAAACCACCTACAGATCTGGAATTCAACCTCCGAATTGCCTCCTTCCCATTGACTGCGAGAATTAGCTTTTTAAGCTCAGATTTGGACAAGTAAAAATAAAGCGAACATCAGTTCACCAGTTAAATGTTGCAAATAAGCAAATGTGGGGGTGGGTTTGTACTGCTGGTTGCATATTGCCAAGAGCTGTCTTTTTCTTCTTTTCGTTGAATGATTGGAAATAGCAGAAAATGGAACGAGAGCCTTCATCTTACACGCAGCTTACTGTGGGGAACAAGACTCAGAAAAGCAAGGTGAGCCGTTTCACCCTTTTGTTTTGTCTTAAAAAAGTCATTTTTAGGTGAGGCGTTTCTAAAAATTCAGCAAACAAACAAGTGTCTGCTATTAATATGTTGGAGATGCTTACAAATGCAACGCTGTGGTTTACGGATCATGTGGAAGAAGAGTGTCCCTTTGAAGATGATTTTAGTTTCCCTCTAAATTTAAGCCCGATTTATTGTCACTGTTGTTTTCTTTTATTTTGCCTCCCCCTCCCCTGGGTCATCACTTGTATAATAGCACCTTTACACCTCAGGATTAACGTGTGCCATGGGGCCAGCAAAAAATTTGTTCTCCGATCACAATACGGTGAAGAGTCAGCAGACTCCCGACTCGCTCGCTATTCCACTCCCATCGATCTGGTATCTTCCCTTATTCATCAAAATATTTCCCTCCCCTTTACATCTGAAACCAATTCCTACAAAAACTAATCTTTTCTTCATAATAAAAATCCCACTGTCACTCGGTGTCTCCCTTCTCTTCCCATCAAACATAAAAGCCTGTCTGAAACACAGTCCAGTGTACTTCCTGCCCCATAGGCATTTTTCTTTTTTATCAATTCATTTCTTGCTTCCTGACAAATCAGACCAAATGCTGAATCCCTAAGTTTGTTCACGTGAGAGCAGCCTGCCTGCTCTCCCCCCCCATTATTTTGCACGCTTTCCTCCGCCCCCATTACACTGGAATCCCTGAGCTGCTCTTGGTGGAAAGGCCATTGGGAAACACTGCACTTATTCTTGGTTTCGAAAGGCAGGTAGGAATGCTGCTCGGCCGCAAGCGCAGGATGCTGCAGCTCATGGAAAGCTGTAACCTGCCTGACCTGTCTTAGCATTAACCTGCGTAGCAGAACTTGTTTGTGCTGCACCTGGCAGAGACTCTGGCTTTTGTGCAAGTGTCTGACCCGGGCATTGCACAAAAGCCTGCCTGCAAGACGGCTTGCAGCGTGCGTGATCCTGCTGCCTGTGCCCGTGCCTGTGTCTATGTAGAACCTGAAGCTCTGAAGAAAGCTAAAATGCTGCCAATCCTCTTCTCTTCTCTTCCTACAGACCTGCAGTTTCCGCAAGGATCCTGTCTGGGGCCAGGCTTTCACGTTCTTCGTTCACAGTGCCCACTCCCAGTCCCTGCACGTGGAGGTGAGAGAGGGCGCTTTGCCTCTTCCTGGTCTGGATTTACACGGTTTTATGCAGAGGAGGAACAAGGTGCCTGGGGCAGCTGCAACACGGGGAAGCAGCAGCGACTCCCGGCTACCACTGTGCCACCAATGCAGTAGTGCGGTTACAGCACCAGCTCCTATTTTTTTCCTGCCCCCTTAAATTGGTGACCACGGCTGCTGCCCCAGTTGCCCCACTTGAGTTATGATTTCAGGTGCCGATTTACATCGGGTGCAATTCTGCTTCAAGGCAAAATCACTTCAGTATGAGCATGGAGAGTGCAGGGGGACCGGGAGGGTTGAGTTTGAGCTGGTGCTGGTGAACTGGTAGTGGAAGTGACTGTCACCAGATGGTGGACCTTGTGCCTCCATACTAGTTGTGCTGGAAGCATGCTCAGGGACTCCCCAGCACTTGGCACCTTGTTTTTGTGAAGTGCAGTATGGGTCTGGCACAGAAATCCCTGGCAAGTTGACTGCTGCTATTAAAAAATCTGGATCTTCTGCCCTTATCACCCAGTTTCAGTTTCTGACCTTTTCCTCCTCTCCTAACCCATGCTCTCAGAACCCATCCATTCATCCTCCCGCACCCGGCCCACCATGTCCACCTTCCTCACGATACCTTACACACTGCTCATATACATAACGAATAGACATCCAGGCCTGTTTAGTTGCTGCCCGCTGCACAGTAAAATGAACACATTACATGTTTGGTCATATTTGAATAGAAGGGATCTCTGGCAGTGATCAGGGCAATACCTAAGCATTTTGCTATGAACATGTATGTTTTGCAGGCCTTTGGGTCAGATGATTCTTCTGATTCCGAGCAGATCCCTTTGTCTTCTAGTAAATTATCAATAAAGGAAAACTTGTGTTCAGGCACCAAAGTAGGCATTTACGTTCCTCTGATGCCCTGTTGGGCTAGGGTGTGCTGATGCTCCAAAACCACTTTGGATTTTTTTTCAGAGCTACAAAGGCAATTCAGGCTGCTTAAGCAGGTTGCTATTAGATGTATAAACATCACCTCTTCCAGAGTAGGGTGGATGCCATCCCAGGTCTGTCTCTTAGGAGGAAGGAGCTCGACCCAGAGCAAGCAAGCAAGGACTCCTTCCAGTGCTGCAGAGAGGTGCAGGCATTCCTCTGTGCAACTCTTCTGGCTTTAATAACTGGACCGCAGTCCATGGCTCTTTCC